AGGAGGTCTGCTTAGGACTCTGGTGTGATTCAAATTATACTGGAGAGCTTTCAGGATGTGACAGTGTTGTTGGCTTTTGTGGTCTAAAGCATGCCTTAAACTATCAGGGGACCTTTGTTCCATAAATAATCTTTTGTAATAGTATTTAATCTTTATTTATATTGACATGTATTAATATAAACATATTAACCTTACAAACATCTTAAAGTAAATAGCTATAATTTTTCATACGCTTGTGAGCTCAAGCTTTTAGTCACTTGAGCCTTTAGAAAAAAGCCTTAATGTGTTCAAAGAAGACAGTAATACTTTCAAAAATATGGATCTATAAGTATGTGGACATACAAACACATTCTATACATGTTTCAAAAACCATAGTCGTTGATGAGATTTTGCCCCACCTTAACTGCTGCTAAGCTCAGGTTGTAATAAGACCAGGCAATGATTGTGGTAAATGTAACATGTTTATATATTTCATTTAATTAAAAGCGCTTTCTAAACAGTGCATAAAAATGAAAAACATTGAGTTAGACTAAGCATTTGATGAAAAAGGCGGAGGAAGCGAATTCATTACACTTTCAGTCAAAGTGCAAACTTGAAGGTCAAGACAGCATCTCTCTTCTATCTATAGTGTTTAATATATGAGCCATCTTTTTCTGTTTCACACAGAGTAAAATAACAGCAGTATTACTCCAATGGAGCACGATTTCTTACAAGTCACTCTGCAACACAATGTCTCAGAAAGAGTCAGAGAACAGATCTCTAGAGCAGTCACATGTCTGGCTCCCATGAATCCCTTCGCTAACCTCTTCACTGTCACAATTTTCTGTCTTTCTCAGCACACACTCGATGGAACCAAAATTGTTGCGGTTGTCTGTCAGCTTTCTTTTGCGGATTGGCACACTTTGTTGGATTTTACTCGCAGGTGTAGGAGGAACAATTGCTTCATTGTCATAGCCACACTCTGACACGTCAATAAATCTTGCTTTACAGTTGATTGACATGCGGTTTAGAGCCTCTTCCTGCACCCTAAGGTGCTGCAGAGGTTGTAGACTGTTTTTATGCTCGACTGGTTTCAAGAATTTTCTTTTGGGGGTAAGTTTGTGGCTGTGTCTGCTGGATGTAGTTCTCCACACAAAGTTTTCTTTGACAGATTCCATCTCACTCTGCAAAGCCTGGTCACCATTACCACAGTTCAGTTTATGAACAGAATTGTTTTTACTCTCCATTTCATGTAAATTTGCATTAAAACTTTTTTGATTGACAGGCTGTGAACTGAATTCACCTGTCACGCTTTTGTACAAGTCAACACATGAGTATGATACGACGCCTAGTTTTACAATGGGTGTGGACTGAGAGGGAGGGACAAAGTCAAATTCTTTTGTGTCTTGTGGAATCAAACTCTCCCTGCATTTACTTTTTTTAAATTTCCCTTTATCTGGTGTTGATTGTGTCACATTCGCATTTTCATAAATCAGATGATGCTCATCTGCCTTGGAAAACTGTGAGCAAGCTTCCATGCCATCACCGACGGCTTCTGCATGCATGGTGAACCTCTCCGTTTCAAGATTGATCGTGTCTGAGCTATCAAACAGATCTGCTGAACAGTTGTAGGCATCCCCCTCAAGCTGCTCTTCTTCCTCCTTTTGAAAAGACAGTGAACTAGCTGTGCCATCCACCTGATAACACCCATGGGAATAAATGTTTCTATCTTGACTCCTTTTGACAAACAGAAGAGGGTTCTTGCATTCTTTGCTGGCTGAATCATGTGAGCCACATCCATTTGTTGCAGGCGTATTAGTGGCATCCAACAATGCTTGCAAATGCCTGTCTGTTATTTGTGCATTTCTTTGGGAAGATGTTTCACTTATTAAGCTGCTGTTTCCCAGGTTATTTCTTGCCTTTACTTCCTTCCAGTGAACATTCTGAACTTGTTTCGTATCTCTATCAGTGTCAAAATCTTTATTGGCTTCACATAAAAACTCTGTCAGACTTTCAGAGAAAGGCAAATCGTTCCAAGGCAATGAGCTTGATGAAAATGTTCTGGTGAGCTGTCCAGTAGAAAACTCCTTTTCTTTGGGGCTATTCTGACAATACTGGGACGGCCTTAACCAAGTCTTTAGGCTAGGGCTGTTTCTAGCTCCCTTCTCAGATGATGGACTCTCATAAAAACTGCGCTGCAATGAGAAAAAAGGAGCCAAGTCCTTTTCCACTTTTTGGTTTTCCTGGCAACCCCTCTGTGCAAGATATGGTGTTACACTTTTGTCAGCCTGACTTCTGTTTTCATCTCCACATTCCTGGGTACTGCAGCCTTCTTCCTGCTCTGCTGATGATGTAACCAGTCCAAGTGATTGCTGCCATGGAGCTGTGGGAGTAAGGGTGCAGTCTATGTAACGTGATCTAGGAAGGAAACAAAAGCTATTATCAATTATCATTTTTGCATGTAATGTAACAGCACCTCCACCCACATGCTTAGAAGTCAATATCAGTAGCTTATGAGAATATGTATGGTTTTTACTTTGGCTTTCAGAGCCATTTATTGTTATTTTGTAGTCCCTACAAAGGAATAGTACATAGGAGTACATGACTCTCTAGTTAGTAGGGTTTTTTTGGACAGAAAATACAGAAGATTGTATCATTTCTTAATTTCATTACCTTTGAAGTGATCGGGGCAAAAGATGAGAGGCAGATAGTGTGGCATCACTAAAGCTGCTAGTTGGAGAATGATCATGAATGAGGAGCGGGGTTGTTGCTGGAAGACTGGAGATTCTGCTGGTATCAGCAGATACAAGTTCAGATTCAGAAGCTTTCTGAAGAAGAACCCGATAATAACTGACCACGGTGCATCCTCCCATTCCCGTTGCTTTGGGAAGAATCATCTGAGTAGCAACAAAATTTTTACTGCTGGAGCCACTTAGAACAGGTCCTCCAAACCAAAGCGCACTTTCTGCTTCCATCACCTAAACAACACAGATGATACCACAGACAGCTAAGCTCAAACAATGCAAAAATAAAGTAAGCATAATTAGAACACATTTTGGACATATATTGATCCTATTATTTTATTTTCTATAATGGTGAACTGAGAAACTAAAATTGTGAAATGTGGAGAGACGTTTATTATTTAATTGTTGCATAGTTCGTCTTGCTTTTCATGTTTTTTAAATCATTTTATGTTCAAAGTAACAGCAGGAATAAAAAAAATATGGACAATTGAGTTTGAGTTAATTTCTGCTGTTTTGTGTGACCAGGAAGTCACTGATTTCAAGTTATATAAAAAGAAAACAAAAAAAACTCCAAACAGCAATAGTGACTAAATGTTGAATGCCTATTTTTAAGTCTTCATATGTATTTGAATAACTTTTGATCTTGCATGTCACATAATACTTTTACACACGTGATTTACGAATGTACCTTTATACCAAAAATGAAATGTCTGCCAATGAAACAGTCCTCGACTGCCTTCACCAGCAATGTGAGTCTTCTAGATTGTTCCACGGGTCTGTCCAAGTTTTCCACCAATCTATAAAAGACACAAAGCCCACACAGCTCTTCACTTAACCATCAGAGAAGATGTTATGTTCTTCACACGTTGTAGTCATTTGAAACTGACAAAAAACCACTAAAATCTGCACTTTAAAAAGAAGAGGTACAAAACAAATAGCATGTATCCACTGTCTCCATATTATTAGGTACACCTGTTAAATTTAATACAATAGGACTGCCATTTCTTTCCTTCTTTTTTGGGGGGTTAATAGAAACTTGCCAAAAATCTTAAATTCTGGCATTTTTGTGGATGGTGGTCCTGGTGTTGTACTGAACTGCAAAGCACTCACTAGTGTTCTAATGTTTTCTCCACCCTCTTATATTCGGAGGGAGGTGTAGTAAACCCTAAGTGACAACAACCAGTACACCAACTCCATCACATACTATGACCTCAACTTATATGTATCCATGGCCTCTGCTTTATCCCAATATATACTCCTTCTAAACCTGGGAAAACATTTTAATAGTTATTCAGTCTTGATAATAGGAACTTGCATTGTGTTTTCTGTACTCACCTTTGTAATTCATTTGCATGAATGCCAAAGAATGGTTTCAAGCTGTTTCCAAATACTGTTATCCCGAATATACGTCCGTCCCGGGCCACCCTCAGTGAGAGACGGTACCTGTAATCCACCTGTTCTCTCAGACACTTGTAACCACACTTGAAGCATCTGCATCTGTGGTGGGTACACAGAGACGATTGACCAGTATCCATATACTGTCAGGTAACGGAGGTAACATACATTGTATAAAAAAATATTCTAATTTTCTAAAAGAAATCCATTCACTTTTAACTGGACTGTATCTCACTTAGATACAGTCCTCTCAGCACAGTTTCTAAAGGGATTTTCACAATGCTACCGTTTCTCGGCTACAACTGAACCTTTGTGTTTACCTCATAGTGTCCTGCTGGTCAACATCAATCCTGGAGAAACAGCATCCGCAACACGGATAAAACACACAGGGATCTTGCAGAGACAACACCGCACAATCCACCAGTGCCCGTCTATAAGACATTTCAGGCAACTGAGACACGCAGCTGCAGATAGCAGGCTAACCGCTAGTTAATTACCCACTTAATACATGACTGTTTATTTGATCTGTTTTTGTAACCGAAGGATTTGAGCACGAAAAACTATTACAAGCGTTACGAAAAACATAGCAAAGCCCGCCAATATCTAACTTTAATGCCGTCATAACAAACATGCCCTTTTGCTAACTGTACACAAAATGCTACTTCTTCGTGTCTTCATTTCCATGTTGTACGTGAGTCAGCTGGAGGATGCACCGCCACCTACTGTATAAGACGATCACATGAAACTACATTTCTTGATGAATCTACGATAATTTTAATAAAATAATGTTTTAAACTACTGCATGATATGTATTTTATTTAATTATAGATATATTAGTAAAAAAAATCAAATTAATTTCTGTTAGATACATTTTTTGTCCTTTTGCCTATCATTTTCGTCTAAAATTGGAAAATTTGTCAGAGTGAAGTGTCTGTATTCATTTTTTTTCTTCAAATCCAGTCATTTAAGACTTGTTTGGATAACGTGTAAACTGAAGTTATGTCCAGTATGATGATTCAGCAGTGTCTGAAAACAAACTCTACTGCTCACTTTTAACATCAAAAAGTTCAATGCACAGTGCCTAAAGGGACCAATAAGGGAGAAATTTCTGAGCATTTGTTTTGACAAATAAATGACAGTTTTTCATAAAATCCCATGATGCCACCTAGCCTTTGCATATTATGTCGCAATTGGATATGCATAATCCCCTTCACAAGAAAAATTACTGAACACTGTGTGACAGACCTGACCGGTTTCAGTGCTTGCATCATTTGTTACAAAGGCAGGAAATTGCCCAACATTTGCAACCACTGTCGTTTTCACAACCAGTAAGAGAAAACAACAACAAAGATTCTGAGCATAAGAGTTCCAAAATGAATAAATATTAATAACAAATAATGCAGTCAGACTATTTTTATTTCATTCAATTATTTTATTTATTTCAAGGTACACACAGTATACAATCAAACTCATCGTTCACCAGTCAAAATGAGTTTGCTACTTGTTTGCTACTCAAGTAAGTGAAGGTCTTACAGATATATTGCTCTTATACTTGGGTGGGTGACAGGAATATATTCACTACATTTGAAGACAGAAAAGCAGTACACGAAAGAACTATCAGCATTAACCTGGAGAATACAAACACGAGTCTGTGATCTAAATGTTTAAGGCCTTTTTGTCCAGACTGTGACTAGATGGATGGCTACAGGTGTTTGAAATCCTAATATAAATAATATAAGTAGTTGGAAACACTATAACATAGGAAACACAAATCATGAACCAGTTGTACATAGTAACATGATGCACCATGATGGCAATTATAACCATTGCTCTGTTGCTCTGCAGTTGAAATGCGGCTCTCAGTTTACCACAGAGGGGCTCTGATCAACACCCCTTTCCATGTGTGAGAATTTGCTACCTGCAACAATTCAGAGCAGAACCAACATAAAAGAAAAACACCTAAACAATGTAAATATGTCTAACACACATTATTCATTATACTCAACTGTATTTGAAATAAAAGTAAATAAAAGTGCTGCATATCTCAATCTGTTATTTAAGGTGCAGATGAGTGATAAAGCACAACATAAATAGACAAATCCCCAATGTCATAATAGACACAGGAATTATATAAAAAAAAGACACAGATTTTGCTTTATTTTAATTTATAATTAAAAAAAATACGCTAGGTTAATTCTCATGTCAGCTTGTGTTTGTTCAAGGCACTGACTTCTAACTGGAGTTGGTCCACCAGATATTTTGACAACTGCTCCTTATGCTGATGAGTGAAAGGAAGGGAATGAATTGAAGGAGATCGATAAAGGATATCTTACCCTGCCTTATCCTATGTGAATGTGCCATAATAGATTTTCACTTTTTAAGGTAGTTACTAAACTACCCTGTGTGCAGAAGTTGGATGATAATTACTTTTGATTTACCTGCATTCTCTGATGAAGAAACCTCAACTTCTGGTTGAGACATTCAATTTCCTGATACAGACAAAAAGATAATGACCAGGTGTTTGATTTTTTAAAAACTCACTGTAATATTAACCCATTTAAACCCACTGGGAACAACTTTTGCTGCTCTAAGCCCCTACGACATTAAAAAACAATTAAACATATTGTGTGTAGGGGATGTCTAAGGAGTAAAATGCATGCACTTATTTTGCAGGGAAATTTTGGGGATTTAATGGGTTAAGAGATTTGATGAAGAGGCTAAAACTCTTCAATATGGTTCTGCTATGTTTCTCAGTGCATTCACCGCTTTAAGAAAGTTTAAATACCTGGGTTAGTTTTTCATTACGCCTGAGTTTGACTTGAGGAAGAAGGTCTTCCAGTCTCTGTATCTATAATTAAAAATACAATCTAAAATCATTTACAGACAAGTAGCATCTGTTATTAAGTCGTTAATATATTCATTCAGAGATCAGTCTGTGGACTACTGCCAAACCACTAACTGTACTGTACTCTCATTAAAGAATACTTGCACTTACCCTTCTTTCAATAGTCTGTAGTCTTGTTTTCATAGTTTTATTGATCACAGTCATGGGGATGGTTCTTGGCTTGGGACACACTGAAGTAATATGAAACCAAACAGAAATCAAAAAGGTGCCTTTTTGTTCAGGACTATACATTGTAGTGATCTTTCTTTCTGTATCTTCTTTACTATTTGTAGAATAATTTAGCCATGATAAACTGATTCATGTTTAAGTGTTTCATGTGTTTCCCATCCAAAATAAAGGAAAACGAGTCCATTCACTGCTACTATTAAAGCTGCGGTTCCATTCACAGGATGTGGATGCTGACCAAGAGTAGTCTTTAGGATATTCCATTTGTGATACCTTCTAAAATTTCTGTCTGTTGTTTAAAAAACTGTCCCATGACAAGAAAATCTAATACTTTATATTATGTTCTATTTTTCTTTTACAGCAAATGAATCATTGCAAATACTTTTTCCAGAATAGAGGTGCTGGGAGGGGTCCCAGCACCTCTATTCTGGAAAAAGTTTGATACAAGGTTTGTTCATAATTCCATTGCCTTTGTATATCCCATAAGCTAAGCTGATTGGCTGTAGTTATTCCATTAACAGGATTATGAAATGTAGAAACATTTACAGACTGTTAAAGATAAACACACTGATTACCATGCTGAAAGATCTTTGCAACCTCAAGCACGTAAGGTCTGTGAAGAAAAATATATAACTGCTTGATTATATATTTTCAGTATGCAGTGATTAAATGTAAAGACTTTTACATCACCAGACCACATACATGTGCTTGCTGTTAGCAGGGATGGAGCTGTTCAGAGGGATAAGATGGCCATGATGGTTCCTTATCTACACACAGAGGAAACTTGTTGTGTTTTCAAGAGCTCCCACCAATTTTTTTTTCATTAATCATTTTTGACACATGGACCCACTTCCACTAAACGTTTAGAGAAATGCCTGTATTTTACACATGTACCTTGAACACAACACTGGAGCAGTTCAGCCCAAAAGCACTGCTGACAATCTGAAAAGGTAATATAATATAATATAATATAATATAATATAATATAATATAATATATTATATTTTACAATATTTTAATAAGTAAACAACAAAAGAGCACATTCACGTTTTATACTTAATAATATTAACAATCAATGATTTAAAGTCAAAGTCAAAACAACAAAAACAAAACAAATCAATCCAAAAATACACATGATAAGAAAGAACAATTACATAATTACACATAAAAGATTAATCAAATCTCAACAAATGCTGTGAGGACTGTGATCATTTTAAATCTTTAAATTTAATGTCTGCTTTAAATGCATATTTGTGAGAATTAAATGTATAACTTTGGAGATTTTAAAGTTGATTGGCTGACTCAATGGATGGATGAATGCATACCTGTACAATGATGGTAACATCAGCTGCTGGGGGAATAGACACTTCTCGAAGAGTAGCCACTTTTTCATCTGCAGCAAAGTAAATGTAAGAGTCTACTTTTTACAATGTTACCATTACATAATTGCAAACAGTGCATTTATTAATGGTTAATCAATCATTCACTTATAATTTATAAAGATATAAGCCAAAACAGCCACCAATGCTGTGGAAAACATGCCAGTAGCTGGACATTTGGTTAGTATAGTTATAGGCACTTTGAGGCAACTGTTTTTGTGATTTGACATTACATAAATAAAATTAAATTGAATTGGATTGAACTTAATTGAATGTTATCAGTGCATCAGATCTAAAAAGCAGTATATTTAGTATAATCTCTCTAAACACAGAAGTGCTTATTTATGTCTTATGGCCGTCATGAGAAAGCTGGATTTACATATACTGTGTTTGAATGCATGGTAGCACACTTCACATGAGTATCATGAAAAATCAAATTTACAATCCAAGTGAATGGACTTTATAGTTAACTAGAGACATTTGTTGTGTTTAGTATTTTCAGTTAACTGCAGATTGTTTAGATATACATTATGTGTAAGTGTTATGTAAATATATATGTATATATAGGCTATTAGGCACAAATGTTTTGGTGTGTTGTTTGTCCATGTTTGACATGGATTTTAAACACTCACATCTGAACACTTGATTGTTACAGTATTTCATTCATCTCTTATTAAAATTAACCGTTTAATATATTTGCTAAATACCCAATTGCATGATTCTAGTAATCCTATAATCAGATTTTTGTTCCCTCTTTGGTTCTTTTGAAGAAAAAAGTAAAATAAAATAATTTTAGATGTGAGCTCGCGGTCTAATATAACAGTCACCAGCGAAATGCTCCTACCCTTTTGGGGGGTTATTTATGAGTACGTTATTGCCTGATAAAGCAAAAAATAATATGACATTTTTTAAAATGGATTTAACTTATATTATCTGGGGAAAAAAAGAAAAAGAAAATATGAGCACATAATCCTCATTTTGACTTTAACGGGTTAAAGGGGCTGGTTGCCATGGACACAGACGCACAGACTGACATCAGTGAGTAATTTTAAAAAAAATCACGGCTGACGAGAAGACAAGAAACTCACACAAACTCACGAACCTTTTTTGTCAAGCCGCCTCAGAGCGATCCAAATCTTTGATACCTGAGGTAATTTATCAAAACTGACGATAGACATTTTAGTCAGAGAGCAGAAGCAGCCGCAGCCAGCGAGTATAAAAAATAGATTATACATCCGGCAAGAGACCTTCAAAATAAGGCTAGAACTTCAGCCTTAATAAAGTACCATTCTAAATAAATAGAATGGTACTTTATTAAGGATAGCTTTGCAAATAAAAGAAAAACTGCTGTTCTTTAAGTGGTCACCACCCTAAGTTATTCAGAGAATGTAATGTATGGGTGCGGAAAATGCACACAGCTCTTCAATAATAGTATATCCTCTTAAGGAAATATAAACATGGCATTTCATTTTACATATACAGGTGGTTTAATTTAAAATAAAAAAAACCCCACAGACTCTTTTTGGTTACTTTCAAACACCATATGCTTTATAAGGTCTGAGACGATGAAAAAATATAAATGTGACGTGTCATAATATTTAAGATACCGAAGATTTCCGAAAGAACACTGCTTAAAATGTGTAAGAAGTACCAGTAATAATACTAACTGACAACCTACTGACATCAGGAATCATCTTTCAAGTCTGTTTTAGACACAAACAGATGGACTGAACCAGAAGAGAACTTGAAGAACTTGAAACTCAGGATTGTCTCATATTTGTCAGTGTGAAATTACTAGCTGTCTTGAAGAGCACCAGTTTGTCTAGTTTCTTCATTAAACTTTCTAAAAAAAAAACTGTAGTTTTGTTTGTTGCGCCAAGCCGACATGTTAGTTGTACAATCCAGAGTCTAAGACAATTTCGTGTGAAAAAGAATCAGCTTGTCCAATGTTAGGAAGAAGCCGAGTCTTGAGATTTTATATCCATAGCTGGTGCAGGATTGGTTAGTGTTTTGAAAAACCTAAAGGGAAAAACGAAACTGTCTTCTTTGACAATGCACTTGCAAGACCAGACAGATTCCCTGCAATGTGTTGTAAGCCTGATTGTTCCGTGTTTAACAGACCGTGTCTGCAATAGTTGATCGGTTAGTACGTCAGACTATTTTTTCTTTCTTTTGGCACGAAGCCACTTTATGTTTGAGGAGAAAATTGAAAGCTGTGAAACAAAACCTACAGGAAACCTAACAGGACAACTGAGAGAGAGAAAAAAATCAGACATTATTTAAGAAAGCCCTTTTAGGACCTTCTTGTGTACATAATTCACCACAAAAAAGGCTTCAATATCATACAAAGACTTCATGTAAATTAATATATTCTGGATCTGAAAAGAAACTCAATAGAGAAAAGACTGTTTAAAGAGATGTTCTTGAGTAGGGCTGGGCGATATGGCCTAAAATCCATATCATGGTATAATTTGAAGCATGTGGGGTAACGATATATATCGTGATACATTCTTTTCTTCTGTATAATGTATTTTGCACACTGTGAGGCACACTTAAAATCCTTTAATTCTCTCAAAAATCAACAGTGTGCCTTATCTATGAATTCTGGTTGTGCTTACTGATCTCGAACCGATTTTATGTAGTACATGGCACGCAGAAATCTGTCAAAAATGTTTTAGTACAACTTTGGTAAGCTATGAAGGCACCGCCTGATGGCTTGGCGGAGCGGTATGGCTGCCGTAGTAAGGAGCCTTGCAGAGTAATCTGGGTTCAAAACTCTGTTTGCTTCAGGTCCCAAAGTCAAAGGAACACTGTGGCATTACTGAGAGTAAAAAACTACTGTCTAAATTCTTTCATCTTTAATAAAATGATCAGCGTTGCTGCTTTACCAGGTGTAACAATTAAGTTTAACATTCAGGCATCCATGAAAACAGATTTAATAAATTCAACGGAGTTAGAAGTTAGCAGGAAATTAGCTCGCTAGTTTCCACCTAAACATGATATGCCATGTTCTGACTAAGAGATTTTTGAAAAAATTAAAACGTACAGCAGTGACTTTTGTAGGGTTACTGAAGTCGGACTAGCTGGTATATAATGATGTCCTACGTGATCACTAGCAAAACAGCTACGTTAGCATAACATTAGCACAGTGAAGCTGACGGATGAACGCTAACCTTTTTCCGCATGATAAAAGTTAACATGAGGGTTTCTGGTGGTTAGGGACAAATGCAATTAATAATAATAATAATAATAATAATAATAGATTTTATATATGAGCGCCTTTCAAGTCACCCAAGGACACTTTGCAATAGGATAAAACACTTAGTAAAACAATGGCAAAATAAGAACAATAAAACAAAAGCACAAGATAAAATTAACAAACAGTGGATTCACAGTGAATATGCAGATTTGAAAAGATGAGTTTTGAGTTGGGATTTAAACGGGGGGAGAGAACCAATGTTTCTTATTTCTGGGGGCAGAGAGTTCCACAGCCTGGGAGCAGAGCAGCTGACAGCTCTGCTTCCCATGGTGGTGAGGCGGAAGGAAGGTACAGTAAGCTGGATAGAAGAAGAAGATCTAAGTGAACGGGCAAAACAGGTAGTGGTTAACAGGTCAGAAAGGTAAGGAGGAGCGAGGTTATGAATGGCCTTGAAGGTGAGCAGAAGAAGTTTGAATATTATCCGGAATTTCACAGGGAGCCAGTGAAGTTCCTGAAGAACAGGGGTGATGTGCTGGTAGGAGGGGGTTCTGGTGATAATGAGAGCAGCAGAGTTCTCAACCAGTTGAAGCTTATGGAGGGATTTTTGGGGGAGACCATGCAAAAGAGAATTGCAATAGTCAATACGGGAGGTAACAAGACTGTGGACAAGAATGGAGACTGGGTGGAAAGAGAAGGAAGTAATCTGTTAATGTTGCGTAGATGGAAGTAGGCAGAACAGGTGAGATTATTGATGTGAGATTTATAGGAAAGTGAACTGTCTAGGATGACACCAAGGCTCTTAACCTGAGGAGAAGGGAAAACTGTGGAGTTATCGATGGTGAGTGAGAAATGGTTCGCCTTCAAAAGGTTGGATTCAGTTTACTGCACACAAAAGCAAACAGTTTACTTCTCACACAACAAGTTTTAAACATGTAAATTTTATGTCTCTATGTCTCATATGAAATACTTACACTTGTATTAAAATTATGTATCTTTGTATTTATTTGATAATATCACAAATTAATTTCCATATACTTCAAATAGGTGATGAAATTATCTTTGCACATACACACAAAAGCACACATGTTTTTCCCATTGTTTTCCATGCTGACTTCCTGTTTTCAGTGAACTTCAGACAGTTCAAGGAAACATCCTGGCTCATAAGGCCATGAGAAAAAGTGAGGATCACTGTTTTGGCAGTTAAACAAAACACAGTATAGAAACCAGTAGGCTCAGTCTTCGGCGTGGATACATGAGTGTGGAGTGCCAGTAATATATTTGAAGTCAGGGAGCACACTGCCCAGGTGTTCTAAGTTGGCAGAGATCCGAAAATTACCCTGAAACACATACAGAGGAAAAACTTAAAGTAAAGTAAAGTGTAACCCTCAATACATTTATATAACCAAAATACATCCAACACAACTCAGGTTTGACTCCTGCACCCGAACAATGGCAGTTTGACTTCCAACAAGGAAATTCCTCTGAGAATACATTCATGTTAAACACCACAACTTGCTTTATATACATTCCACTTTGTGGAAGAAGATGAAAGGGGACATATAAACCTCCTGTCAATGTGACTAAAACATGTTCCTCCCCTTTTACATCATCAGTGAATGAAAATTAGTGCTACACTATACATGGGTATACATTCATTAAAATGTGCCTGGTATGGGTCTAAGGTTTCTTGTAATTGTGTGTTATGTTTTGAACCTAAAATAAGTCTATATATAAATTTATGTCACGTCATGGCTATTGACTGTGCAAAAAATGCTGAAAATGTGAACTGTATTTTTTTAAATCAAACTGCAAAACTGCAGCAGTAATTTGCCAATTAGAAATATCCTTAAGAATAGAATAGAATCATTTATGTTTGTTGTCTTGTTTATTGTCTAGCTTGTCACAAATAATCATACTGTGTTTATCATAACTTTTTTCCAAATTATTTATTGGCTACATGGTTTATTTTTTCCTCTCATGTTCTCCATATAATAAAAACAACCTTTGTGCAAGAATGGCATATCGCAATTCTAGAATCAAGGCATTATTTATTATGTGCAATAGTAGGCTTAAAATGTTTCCATGAAAGCTGTATAATTTCATGTTCAGGTTCCGTTTACTATACGTAGCCTAACGCAGGTCTATGACAGTATGACACACAAGCGGTCAGAGACTTTTAGAATAAATGTAATATAAAACAGCTGAGGACAGCCAGTGACCTTTAGAGACCCAACAAAATATAATTGGTAATGTTAGTTCCTGTCGATAATGTGCACGGGAAAAAGAAAGAGGAAAATTTTGCTTAATTTAAATGATTCCATCGTTTTTATTCCATAACTTTCCATATTCCCACTCTACTGCCAAACTGGGATTTTACAGTGTTTTACAGTAAGTCTACTCCCCCCTCCCCCGGTTTTATACGCACGGTTCTGTCCTTCCAAAGAAAAGTCAGTGAGTCTGACTTCCCCTAAATGAGTGGTGCATTCTGCAACAGCTTTCACATGAGAAAGACTGTGAGACACACTGTGCGAATGGATTTAGGCTGGAGCCGAGCAGACCGCTTTCTATGAAAATACGCGAACTAAATTGTCTCGTAATGGATTCAAACAGGTAACCTGGATAACGTAAATGTGACTTTCTTCACGAATCCGTCAGGTTTGTTAAAAGAAAATATCTTATTTTCGTTTTTTCTTCCAGACAAGTTTGCAACTGGATCTCTTATACCGTGCTTCTTTTTGGATACATGACTGCGGCCGTACTTCCTGGTATGTGGCTTACAGTAAAATAATAATAATAATATTAATACTGTAATTAGATAGTCTGTGTGAGCCCTGTGTGAGCACTCATAATTTACGTATTTGTATAATATGTTTCGTTCAGGAAAGAATCCGACAATTGGCTTCAGCCTTGAATGTACGTACGACTTTGACCAGGTGATGCAGTGTGAGCTGGAGCTGCAAAACTGCACTGAGTACAGCATGACTCTCCAAGACGAGTATGCCCGGTGTGTTTTTAATCGATGATTTTAGTATTACACCGATCAGCCATGGCATTAAAACCAACAGGCTTACTTTGACTGGGTGCTGCTTTTGCTACTAGCTCCTACGTGTCCGGGTATAGACACGATTTATCTGAGGGTATCTGCCCTGTGTGGGGGTTCCTGGGTCGGCTGTATGTGGACCGGACTTGCATTGGCACACTGAGTGGATTCTCAGTTAGATTGGGATGTTTGGATTTTTGCTCTTCTTTGTGTTCCTCATTCACTTTCTAGACAGTTCTTGTTGTGTGGAAGTTCTCAGTGGAAATCCCAGCAAACTCGGTATTACTGGTGCTGAGAGGTAAAATGAATGTGCACAGAGTTATATCAAACTTTCAAAAAAAAAAAAAAAAAAAACAGCAAAAAACTAAAATAATAAGCTATGGCAGTTAAATGGTTGGTACATTCTTGTGAAGAACAAACATATTGTACTTTTACAATATGTACAGTTTTCCCAAATTTGTTTTTGTTTCTTTAGGTTGTTTTTTTAATCAGTAAGTGTTAAACAGTTGACAAATTTCAGCTGCTTTTCTGTCTGTTAATCTTCTTTGGGATTCAGGGGAATATGTCAATAGATGAGCACTGTTAATTTTATTCCATAATTGTTGTGCTGTTTAAACAATGACTTTAGTAAACTAGAGTAACACTGCCTCAGGAGCAGGAGGTTAGCATGATCCAAAGATGATTGGTTGGGTGTAACTGGAATCCAAAGTTAATCATTAACACTGCATTTAATGTGTAGTCATTACTTGTTACTTTCTTCATCTGTCTGTGGTTTCAATGCTGTGGCTGACAGTGCAAATATGCTGTGGCATATGAATGTTTAATTAAAGTGTTTTGCATATTATCCTTTGCTCCCCAGTGAGGAGAACTGCGCTGTACAGCAGTGTGGCATTGGAAAGTGTTGTTGCTCCTTCAAACGGATGCGTGTGTTAGGACAAGTTCTCAAAGCAAAAGTCTGGAAAGATGGCAACATCATGGAGTCAAAAGCTATCAGTGTCACGGAGAGCAGTACGTTGGCTTCTTTCAAATTATTTCCCATAACTCTGCATCTGCCAGAAAGACTCTCTGGAGGTGAACAAATATTCACTTTAATGCTCTTTTGTTTCTGTACAGTAAAACCAAGAACTCCAACAATCAAATCAGTCAATGAACTCGAAGGGAATTTTGAAGTCAAGTGGACGTCAAACATGGAGGGAATTTTAAACAATGAAATGACTGCTGTGGTGACTTACTATAAAAAAGGAGAAACAGAAAAGGTAGGAACAATGCCACAGTAACTATTTGTTCTGGAGATGTAAACATGGGCAACTGTCAAACTCATTTTTGTTCCTCCATACTAGATATCTGGACCTTTCAAACCAGCCACAGTTGATGAACTAAATTACTATGTAATAAAAGGTCAAGACCTGGCTCCCAGTTCAGCATATGTGGTCAGCGTGAAAAGCTTCTTAAGTCTGAGTGGCAAGTTCAGTGACAGTAGCAAAGAGTGGGAATTTGAAACTGGTAAGAATTGTCTTTATTCAGTTGTAAAACAGTAAATTCTGTATTTCTTAACTGTGTTAAGAGGCCCTAATTATATTTCTATTACACATTCAGCTGAAAAATAATATGAGTTTTAATATTAACTCTCAAACTAACTATCATGTATCTCCAGAGAAAAGTGGAGATGAGCTCCTTAGATTGTAACATTAAAAGTGAATTTAGAAGTGTATTCGAATATAAAGGATCTGTGAAAATCTCAAAAGCAAAGAGATAAAAAGTTTGTATGTATAATATGTACAGTTTTAATTTCTCTTTTTTAATCTCCTGAACAACAAAGCAACAATAAATCAATAAATTATGATGCTATGTCCTGTTTTAAGTAGTATCGATCTGAACATTCATACCGTGTATAGCATAAGATAGAGTATGAAGACTTTTTAAAAAATGTATATTTTATCTTTGTAACTTACATTTTGGAGGCTGCATAGAGTAAAAAAAATGCAATGGGACACTCTCATTGGTATAAATAAATAACTAAAAACTATCCTTTTGAGGCAATATGAAGAAACTGTTTAGGAATTATATAGCATTAAGTAGTGACACACGGTGTCATCAACACAACACATCTAACACAAAATACAAGTCTGTTAGCAGACATATAAGCATATGCTATGCACTTTATCCTACTATATCTCTCTGCTGTATAACATCTGTGCAAGATTGCAATTATTAAACTTATTTCATACATGTTATTTCACAGGTCCTTCCCGCCACAACCTGATGTTGGTTATCATTATCACCCTCAGCATTGCTGCAGTCATCCTCAGCGTTGCTAAATATGGCTGTTATGCAAAGTGAGTCATGTAGATCAACAAGTTTTTCTTGTGCCTCGGTCAGTGCATATTTCCCCTAAATACTTGAATGGGGTCGTCATTTTTTTCCTACATTTCCTTTTAGGTTGAGAAAAATCTATTACGATGCAGTTCCGAAAACTACAAATCCCTCTTTTCTTAATATTAATCCAAGTGAGCAGAAGGTGAGACAGGTGAGGTCAAAAACTTCTAACTTCAATGGTTGCATTCATTTACTTTATTATTAATAATTATTAACAATTTAAAATCTGTTGGTGATTTTCATAAAATTATTATATTGCATCACTTTTTCATCATTTGCCATAATTGGATTTACATTTGGTCTATAAATAGCAGTTTTATCAGGACTGTTATAGTCAAAAGAAAATCTAATGCATCTAGTGGACAACTTTGGCGATTAGAATAGAAATGTATCTGCTTAGCCATCAGCTGATGAAGACTGGCACTAAAAATCAGCTGATCTGCAGGGACTACAGCTGAACTTGAATTTGTGGCCTGTCTTAAGTGACACTATATTTAATTTTTCATTGTTCGTGGCATAATCAGCCCTGGAGTCAAATGGCCTTCACAAACGCTAGGATTTAACAGAAATTGTGCTGAAATCAGAATCCAGCTCTGCATTTTTTAACAGGTTTTTTCTACGGTAAAATCAGTCACTAAATCCTATTGTCCCAAAAACAGGGCAAACTAAGTCAACCAGAAATGATATCTTAAGGAATACAAAAGGCACTTTGAGAAACATACTAAAGTTCCAAAAGATTTTCCTCCTTCAACTGAAATGTTTAAGACTGTTCATTCATTTTGCTTAGGTCTTGAAACTTGAACCCATCATTACCATCCCCATACATGTTGAGACCCTTATTCCAGATGACAGTGAACTGGGGTTAGTATTGACTGCATTGATGCATCACCATTACAAGACATTTCCTTGAGGATTTATATCTGGCAGTTTCAGTAATTGTTTCTTTGTATTCAGGTCGAAGATGTCATTGACAGACAAAAGCTGTGGAAGCCTTCAGCAAAGCAGTGGGGTCAGCACGGGTTCCTCTGATCTAAGTTATACAAATACTGAAAGCCCCGTTGCTGTGAATGGAGAATCTTCTATTGCTAAAGCTGCTAAGAATGAGCTCTGTAAAATATTCCCAAATATTTGCCCAATATTACCAGTGAGCACCAGTCTCCCGACACAGTCAAACAATACACAAGGAAGTGAATTATTCTCTGAAACGAGTTCTGGAGTATCTGTATTTGAAAATAAAACCTATCACTTCCTTCTTCCTGGCTGTTTACATCAGACTATGACAGACAACTTAAACACCCAGGGGACGGCTGAAATGCTTTGTGACTCTATTTACCATCCCAGTAACAGTGGAATGGAGATACCAGCTTGTCAAGTTCCTGCACAACTAAGTGGTATTTCACCATCAGTGGTTTCACCTCTTCTATCAACAGACATGTCCTATCAAGAGGTCCCCATATGTGTGCCCATAGGGTCACACAGTTTTCTTGCAGTGGATGACGACTATCAGGAAATTCCAAGTTTGGTGAGGCAGCCTGATGCTTCGCTTTTAGAGCACAGAAATACTGAGCATAAGGAACATTTGGACAAGTCGGAGGAGGAGTCACTTAGAAACAGCCCTGAAAGCATCTTAAGCCCAGTTGTTCCAGTTCAGGATGGGCAGCGTGTCTCTGAACTCCAAGTACCCACCTGTTTTATATCTACTAACTGCTCTGTACCAATAATCACAGAGAGTGGCTATCAAAGTGTGTAGTGTTGTGACCATAACTTCAGTTTTAGCTCTTTCTAATACATGGATGCATGAAAATGATCTCATGATAACTGTTTCTTATAGAATATGATCCTGCTGTCATTTGGAAATTATTCTATATAGTAAGTCAAAGATTTGCACTGTGAGAACACTTAGGTTCAGCATATTTAAAATGTACTCATAACAAACATTATTTTATTTATTTAACTTTGATTTCACCAGTTTAGTCCCATTGAGACCAAAGATCTCTTTTACAAGGGAGACCCGACCCTTAAAGGTCTGACTGAATTTAACTTGACCGGTGGATTTGAGGGGTGAGCACAGGAGGTAGAGCAGGTCATCTACTAATGTAAGGTTACTTCAGTCTGCATGCCAATATATCCTTGGGCAAGTTTCTGAATGCATTCACCAGAGGGTAAATCTTAAGGTCTATTTTGACTTTTGCGATAAATCTACTTCATATATGACGCTGGAACTAGAAACTCCATTTATCCCTACACCACAGCCTTCCACATCATTCAGGTCGTTGTGGTACGTGTCGACTGAACAGTGGTTATTTTTCTCGGGAAGTGCAAGTCAGTTACGTAGAAGGTTGTTGTGTAGGTTTGAAATGGGCTTTCAGTTATGGTGTACGATCTCAAATAAAAACAAACTGTGATATTTAGGGTATAAGTGATGTACATGTTGCCATTAGAATGCTTTTCAATCAAAGTGAATTACCCTGGGCTCTGTTTGTTTCAAAGAAACATTGCTGAAGAATTTTCAGATATTATATGGCTATAATTATAACCGTAATTTATTAAATGTTTGTTTTCAACAAATGCTTAGGAAAAAAGTTTTATTTGTCATGTTGTTTTTATATCCAAAATTCAAGTTATTTTCTTTTGTTTTGTTTTCATTTAATTGTAAATAACACATTTGAAATGAGGCAGCACAGTGGTTCGCATTGTTGCCGCACAGTAAAAAGGTCCTGAGTTTAATTCCACCATCAGGCCAGGGTCTTTCTGTGTGGAGTTTGCATGTTCTCCCCATGTTTGCGTGGGTTCTTCCTCCCACAGGCCAAAGACATGCAGTTAGTGGGTTACGTTAATTGGAAACTCGAAATTGCCCATAGGTGTGAATGTGAGTGCGAATGGATGTCTGTCTCTGTGTGCCAGACTGGCGACCTGTCTAGGGTGTAGCCCTATGAGAGTTGAGATAGGCTCCAGCACCCCCCGTGACCCTGAAAAGGATAAGCGGAAGCGAATGGATGGATGGACATTTGAAATATATTACTGGAATGTATAAATACTGATAAGACCAAAATATGTTAAATTTGTCATGAATGCTAAAACAAGTGAGCTTTAATCTCTTTGCTTTTCCCGAGTTAAAAAAATGTTCAAAGTGAATTACTCTGAGATGTGTTTGCTTCAAATAGACATTACTGAAGACTTTCAATGATCTACAGTATGCTGTACTTTGTACAGTCTGCACAAACAATTTAATATTAAATTCTTCAAGCATCATTGCGTATCATTTGTAACTTGGATCCCAATGCGGTGACCCATTTTAGAGATTGGTACTTCAAATTAAAGTCGTTAATAAATGAGAGCACAAAACCGATAGCAAAAACAAAAAACCACAAAGAAGAATGTAATCCTGTTAATGACAATGGAGGGGGTCACATATCTGAAAGCTTGACTAATGTGCATATAGTAATGATAAACACAATACATTTACAGCTACACTGAGTCATACAAATAGTGCTGCATTTATTATAAACTTTTCAGTACTTAGTCAATACTCCTGATAATGTAGCTCTTTTCTGTTCACGTTGTTTAATTCAGATGTTTAATGTTGGCTTCCTTCAGTGTTACTTGGAGGCTGGATGTCTATCAGGGTCCGC